AAAAAGTAATTATTTATTATTATGTAATTTCTCGCTCTATAAGTTTGTTATCTTATTTTAATTATATCTTGTATATATAGTAACCAGTACAATAAAAATTATTATAATAAATAATAAAAAAAATATTTAAAAATTTTATTGATGTTTAAATAGTATTAGTTTTGTATACTTTTTTATGATTATTTCTTTAGACTTGATTATATTGGAAGGCTTGTCATAGATAAGCTTGTCTAGTTTGTCATCACACACATAAACATAATCGACGCATGCGTATTGCAATAAAATGTATAGACAAGGATAGATAGATGTTGAGGACAACGGCAAGTCAGCTATGCCCCTTCCAGTATATATGTTCTAAGAAAATGGGATGTTTTGATTGGTTAATTCGTAACGCGACGGATGCCGCGCGTTACGCGCTCAGTGGAAATTCAGCCTAACGCTTGCCGCGCAACAAGATGGAGCGCGATAGCCAATCAATTTTTTGCTCTTATGGAAAAGTTGTCATTTGATTGGCTACCGCTTTACCTTTTACTGCGCGCAAGCATTACCGCGTCCTGTGTACAGGAGCCAATAGAGTTTAGTAGTTGTCTCAGATAAAGTGCATTTTGAAATATCTCTAGTTCTTGTTTTAATTAAGGTTTATTCAAATAGTTTTGCGTAATTATTCGATACATCAAATAATTGACCAATCATATTTCTGATATAAACGACACCATATTGTTGATTCTTCAATTTTGATATGTCATTGTCTATATAAGTTCGTCTGAACAACCCTTTATTCACTTTTGCTTTGTGATTTTCTCTTTCTATAATAGTAATATCTCGTACGTTTTACGTACCATTCCATAAGATTAAATTTCCCTAATTGTTGACCAGTAATATTGTTTACATATTAGTAACATTTCAATCTGCGTGTTACTCGAATAAAGCACTATAAATTTTTTATAATATTTTTAGTTCAGCAACTGGTTTATCGTCGAAAGGACTGGGCTGCAAATTCATCTTAGATACCAGTAATTTCATCGATCTTGTTCCTACATCCCATCGGAGTGCGAAGTTTTACACATTTGTATCCGTATCTTCGCAATAAGTTATCCACGAAGTGGTCTACAAAATAATAGCGAGTGAGGCAAGTAGTAAAATTGGTTACTCCCTTTCGTTTCAGAAGAAAGTCTGACGCTTGCGAGTCTCTTGAAATCACTATATCCAAGCTAGAAATATCTATTTGCAAGTGAATTTGGTTTTCAGTGCAACGAGTTTTTCACAAACTATGTGAGATTTTTATTAAAATGTTGAATGTTTTATTGGTGATGAAGATATGCCACATCACATTGATCACAATATCATTACACAGATTGCGATTGGATATTCGTTTAAATAGCGATGTTCTTTGTGACTGATAAAATATATATGTTATTGTCAATATGTTATTGTTTGACAGGAAATCATTTGAAATAATTCGGCAGATAGTAGGATTACACACATGGATTTGATTGATAATAACTTGCAGACTTGGTCAAACGAAGTAATGGAAATGGAAGTCATCTGTCTTTCTTCTGATGATGAATTAAACTCACAAAAGGTTTAGTAAAAAAAATATTAAAGTATATATTTACAGATATGTAGAAGAACAACTTTTTTACTGATCTCAATAAATTTTGATGTTATTTAATATTTTATAATGAATACTATATGAATATAATAATTAAAATCATTGACGTTAGAAACAGCGTAATGGATCTTTAAAAGTAATTTATATTTGTACATAACTTCAGTTTTGTTTTAAGCTTAGAAACTGTTACATTGAATAAATATATTCAATTATAGCATATTTGGATCTCAGATTTGGTACAGAAAGCAGAAAGTGATGATTTGTGCAAAGTTGACAATTAATTCATAGATGTGTAATTGATATATAATACATAATGTAAATGTTATCTTTTTATAAGATCCAAGGATGTTACTATTATTTGTCATCACAGATTATATCAATATTCCATAGTTTCTAGAAAATATCACTCTTCTTACTCGCTCTTTTTACAATATTAAATAATTTTTACATACAGATCGAAGGGAAATAGATCTACCCATTTTATATTACTAAATGGATAGATTTACCTCTTTGCATTTAAAGAATTATTTTTAATTTGAAAAAACCTTATATTGACGATACATCAGATTGTAATTTACTGAAATTGGAAATATATGTATATATGTTAATGATATTATAATCTTATTATAATCTATGACATTCTTTTAGTCGGTTAGTTCACAGCCTTTAGTCGGTTGTAACTCAGATGGTCTACAAAGTGTTAACTATTGTTTTTTTTTATTTTACATATTATAATTCACATATAAGCAAAATTTCAATGAAATCTGTAAGAAAGTTGTTATTCTGCATATACTTACTTGAATATCCACTTTAGTTTTTTCAAGGTAAGTTTAGAAGAATGATAGTACTTGCTTTTTATAAATGAAAGAAAAAAGTAAAACCGTTTATATAGTAATAAAATGATCTTAGAATATATGAATTATATTTGATTTAAAAATTTATTGTTGCAGGAAAATATAAAAAATAAATCTGTTATCAATTCTACAGAAATTGTCAAAACTGCTAATAAGTTAGAAGTTTTAACCAGCGATGATGAGAAAATAGAAGAAAATAATCGAAAACGAAAATTATCACAGATAAATAAAGAAGAGATAATTCATAATAAAACAGAGAAGAAAAAAAAGTTAGACATAAATCAAGATACGTCAAAGATGATAAAAACAGCTATACCTGAACCTAAGCTCTGTTTGAAATCTGATATATCTAAGGTACATCCTGTTGCTGAATCTGATTATACAACAAATAAAGATAAAAAAGTAATTGAAACAAATTTGTTTGAGATAGACAGGACATCATATATTACATATAATAGCTTTCCTTCATTTCTAAGTTTGTGTCTTCAAAACACTCAAGGTGATGAAAAGAAAGATATGGAAATAATAGTTAATAAATTAAAAAGACGTTATGATCTCTTGGAACCAGCTTATATTGGTTCAAAAAGTTTTGATTTATTTATAAATGAAAAGCGTGAAGCTATTACGAAGAATGACAAACGAAAGTATCTGCTCATAGAAGAAGTCATGAACGAGATGAAGAGAAGTATTAGAAAGAAACCTAAAGCTGACGAGTATGATGCAGTTCCTTCTACTTCTTATGCTGCAAATAATTTAAAATCAAATAATAATATAACAGAGTCAGATTGTGAAGATGATATCGCAATAAATGTAAGCTCTAAAACGAAAAGAAAAATTAAGCAAGTATTACATGCCATGAAAAAATGTGAGGCAGCAATAAAAAAGTTAGAAGAAGTAGAAGTTGATTTTAACGAAGAGAATGATAGTAGTTATATAAAAGTTGAAAAATATAAACAAAGAATGGTGGAACTATATAATAAACATTGCGAGTTAACAGGAGATAATACTGATGCAGGACGTGCATACTTGCGTCCTAAACATGTGAACCCGACTCGGATTCCTGCTGTAGATCATGCGATAACACTCTTTATTAATGATAAAATTACAAAACGAAATGAAATGAAAAAAGTGGGAGCTCTTCCAAATGATTTAATATTTCCTGATTACAGGGACATTCTAAATTGTGTTACTAGGAGCAATGATACGAAAAATTTAGGTCTAGAAAAGAGAAAATTAGAACAATTGGGTGAATATATAATTTTACTTCTTATGAGCATTTTTACTTATGTAATATATTTTTTATGCGATTAATTGTTATATTCATATATCTCATCTTTATGGTTTGATATTCTGATTTTTATTTTTGTATATATGTATATGTATTATATATATTGTATGCATGTATATTAATGTATATGGATGTTATTGCAGCAAAGAAAGCTTTTCAAGAACTAGGAGAACACTTACAACGGTCAAGACAAAATGATTATTGGGATACTTTTTCTTTATATCTTGATAATGCGAAAGAAGATCCAGCTGTAAAAGATCAAGCCTTAGCAAGGAAATTAGCTGATAATCGAATGGAAGGTGAAAAAAGATTGGCTGCCGTATTTGAGAAATATGCACAACAGCAAAAGGAAATAAAGGAGCAAGATAATGATGATGAAACTGCTTCAGAGGAGGAAGTGGAGGAGGAGGAGGAGGAGGAGGAGGACGACGACGACGACGACGACGACGACGACGACGAGGAGGAAGAGGAAGAAGAAGTAGAGGAGGAGGAGGAGGACGAGGAAGTGAAGGAGGAGAAGAAGAAGAAGGAGAAGGAGAAAAAAGATGAAAAGGGAGAGGAAAGTATTGTAAATGATGAAGATAAGAGCCAAAATAATGTTCCCGTAATTAGTTTGAGCGATGAGGATAATGTCACTGAGGACATAGATAAAACAATAGAGGATATAGCTAAAATAATCAAGAAGAAGAAATTTATAGAAAAGGACAAAAATAATATAAATATAGTAAATCAGGACATAGATATTTTAAATAAAACTTCAGCAGACAAATCTCCAGAGCAATGTGATGAAAAGGTTAAAATAGTTTCTGCAGAAAAGAGCGACGTGATATCTGAGAATGAGACATTTAATAACACGGAACACAATCCATCTATTAATAATAACACTGTGGATTCGAAAATACAAAAGGATTTGTTACCAACATCTACGACGAACTGTGAAAATAATATTAATAGGACTGAAGGTTTGTGCAATCAAATTTCTACAAATGGAAAGGCATCATAAACATGTTTTTCTTGTTATAGAGAATCTAACTGAAGCGGTAATGCAGGACGCACCGAAAGTAATAACATGTTCTATGGAGGAGGTGGTGACAAGGGATATAGCAGATGCAACTACTACGGATGTAGCAAATATAAATAAGGATGCAGCGGAAATGATAACAGGTAATGGACCAGAGACGATAGGTGGTGAAAACGATGTAATAGATAAAGTAGAAATAACGGAGACAGATATGACAGAGACGACAGATGTGACAGATACGACGGATGTAATAATCGAGAATGTGCCGAGTGGAAATCAATCGGAAGAAGAAAAGAAACCTTTGTTACGAGTTCGTTCATTTGCTAAACCTCCCACGACTTGGAAGGACAATCAGCACAACGCGAATAAGGCTGTCCAAGAAAACGTACCAAAAATAATAAACCAAATGGAAGAAGTAATTGATTTGACTGATGAAACGACGACGAGAGCGTTGACCAAGGAAACGAAGGCCAAGAAGTCACCTGTCATTACCAAGTGCGCTATAAAAGTTGGAGACAAGCTATTTCCTGTAGTAAAAAAAAACGTTGATTTTCCCGTCTAAGAACAATCTAATCACAGTCCACAATATTACAAACGTCCAAAATATTACGAAAAATTATTTGAAAGTGAATAAGCGGACAGGACAAATTATATCATCTGTTGGCAACATTCATGGACCTAAAATAATCCGATTACCAAGTTCGGTTCAAGTCAATCAACAGCAAAATCAACAACAAAACACAAACACAGTTATTACAAGACAAGAAGTGCCCTTAAGAAGAAATGAGACGATAATAAAAGTTGTTCCACCCGGCAAGCCGATTCTACTACCGAAGAAAAAGACTGTGCAAGTAACTATCCCTGTCTCTGAGCAAAGTGAGAGTCCACAGGCGACTAAGCCTAAATGACTCGAATACATAATAAGGACAGTCTTTCTGGATCACTGTTATATAAGAATAGATAAAAGCTGATCTTATATATATAACGGTAATTATGTTTATCAGATATAAGTTATGCATACAAATTTGTCATTAAACTAAATGTTTTAGATTTGAAGTATTATTTCTAATAAATATTTTTAACTGCACACAATGAAGTATTGTACTTTATAATATTTCTTTAACTTTATATTTTCGCCTAACGAATATCTGCATCAGGTTGAAGACACTGCAATATCAGCTTAGCAAGATGATAATTTGGATCCAGAAATTTTTCCACTATATCAAAGTGGTCGATGTTGTCTCGAAGTAAGAGATACTCTACGTTATCTACTACGGGAATAATTTTCTGAAACAATAATACAATCTTTTAAAGAATTTGTTACGTTTTTGTTGGCATTTTCGATATATGATATTTAATTAACTATACCTGGGCGTACTCGCGCGATTCATTGATGAATACTGGAGAATCGCATTCTCCTACGGTTACAATAACCTTTAAGCCGCGGATTTGACGGTCTTTTGCTTCATCAAGAGTGGAAAAACTCAATGTCTTAATTTCTTCGCTGAAACAATAACATTAAAAAAAGTAAAATTTATTCAAAAAATTGAAATTTTGCAGAGGTCAATCGAAATACTTACTCGGTGAGTTTCAGCGGCACTGCAAAACTGGTACCAATTAAAGGTTTTATATTATAAAGTCCACCTATCAGTATGAGACCCTTTAATAATGCAAAATATCCTTGCTGTATCATGCAATCGATCCAATCATCATCATGCAATAAAGCTGCAGTCAAGTGTGCTCCCGCACTGTGTCCAGCGATGCATACGTGTCTATATATATATGTTTTAAAATAATTTATTATAAATTTTATTATTATATACATATATTTATTTTTGAAAATTTATTTTTTAAAAGATTTGTCGAGTATAATTTTAGTATAAATAATTAAAATGCTGAATAACATACTTTGAATTCGAATCAGCCGCATATTTTAATATTTGCTCAACTGCTGATTTTATTTGTGCTATTATATCTCCCATTTTGACTAAAATAGAAAAATATAATATTTGTATGAATAAAGGCAATTTATAAAACTCGAACATTTTTATATTTTCTTATATTAAAATTCGCTTAGATATAATTATGCTTTAACGAATTTACAGGACAATTAACCAATCATAGATGCTACAATAGTCTCATATAGTCCCATAGTGGATAATTAATAAATTAAGAAAGACAATTAGAGTGATTGTTTACTATCTTACCATTTGGACATAAATCATATCCAACTGTAATCACTTTGATCTTATTTTCAACAAACAACGGCACCGAAAATCCAGCGAGATCTTTGCTAAATTCCTGCCAATATCCGCCATGGATAAATACAAATATCGGTGCATCTAAAGCACATAAATATTTTAATGTAATCACTAAAATATGATTGTAACATTATTTTGTTGCGGAATGTGAAATCTTATACACAAGATAAAAATATTGAATAGTTTGCTGATCGTTGAAAAGAAATTAACAGATTATGATATTGGATGGAAACGTTAATTTTTCGAATTTAGTTTACAATTATCTCAAGTTTCAATTAAATACAATTAAATAAGAATTAAATAAGATTGCTATCATAGTAACCTGTGTTATATAAATGTTTGCTATTTGTACTCGTAGAATAAATACACGAGACTTCAATTGTGCACTAGAGATATGTATGTAAATATCATTTGCAAAAAATCTATTCTGACCTTGGAAAAAGCAAATGTATTCCTATCACTTTACTTGTAAAATATTCTCTGTAGACAAACTGGTCTTTGAATAAAAATGTTACAGGTTTTTTTTTCCTACTTCTGCTCTTTTTGTGAAAAAACGTCACATTATATTAATTGAATCAATGTTATATTTTTACATACCTTCAGGTAAATCGGTACCGTATATGTCGTACTTTGTACGCTCAGTAGGGCCGTACGGTACATTAAGTTCACATTTTACAGTTTCTCGAGCTTTTGTTGTAACTGAAATAATAATAAATAAAGCCAGGCCGCTTTCAGCGATTAAATCGTATTGGATAAATTTTTGTTATGGCAAGTAATAATGAAATTAGAAAAACTTTAATACTTTGCACAATCTATAGTTTGTAAAAACTTTCAACACAGTAGTAATCATCGGTTTAAAAACTTGTTAAAAAATTTTTAGATTGATTAAATTTCTATTTTACCTTCCTCACAGAACTTAAAGAATCTCGCACATATTTCTTCAGGTCCATATCGCTTGCTCATTCGCTTGGCGTATACAAACGTTCATGCTCCTTTAACCAGACAAATATTAAATTATATCATTTTGACGCGTTCTTCAAGCAATGTGAGAAGTGTATGAATTTTCAACGAGAATACGTACGGACATCTTCGATCAATTATCGGTTTGGATTCTTCAGAAACAGAATGAACGTCTTGTTATTTACGAAGCTCGATAGCAACTGCTATTTCCTTCAGGGATATCACCGCCTATGGTTTTGCGTGTCACCTCGTGTGTGGCTTCAAGTACATCTACTGTGTCGTATGAAGGGGAACTGCCGTCGGGAAGGCGGAGTCAATTAGAAAAAAAAATATATATATATCAATTTCTGCGCGTTATCACACTGAGGCTTGTAGACTTTATTACGAGATCGCTATAATTTTACGTTATTATAAATCGAAATCAACATTCAAGTGTCATTCAAAATATACCCTGCAAAATTATTATGCGAAGTAAACTCGTTTTATCTTATCGTTATTAAGAAAGATTTATAAATCATAGATTACGCGAAGTTGTTAAGTTACTATAGAGAACTACAGATTGCGTTCTCGAGATTTCAATATTGTAATTAACAACTCTGCGTCTCTAGCTTTCAGTGAAGCCAATCACAACCGAGTCGCAACTGGGATAAAGTTGTTTTTCAGCATTTAAATTTTCAATGATGATTGAATGCATGTTTTACATATCTATAATACATATTCTTGTTAACTTTGTACGTAAGTAAATGTGAATAAAATTAAAATGTAATATTATTTATGTATCGCATCGTATACATTATAATAAATAAATATTTTATCACTGATACGTAAATCATTCAATGTCATTAATGTGAAAAAACAGATAATAATACTGTAACTATCTTTACATTAAATGTGAAACGTATAAAATTCACCTAACTTAATAAATTAAAAATTTTTGTAAAACGAAAAAAACGATTTTTGTATTATATATACATATTCATTCGCATTATGCATGTTTCTTAAGAATAATCGGCCATTGTTAAAAATTCACAGTGCTTTTAACTATCCATCGAACTTTTTGAACAGTTCCATTATTAACTGCCAGCTTATAATTGTAAACAACTTTATAAAAGACCGTACAACCGTGTTTAGTACTGCCAAGTTGTATTTGGTACAATTACATTCTCGCTATCGCACCGGAACTGCACTAATTGCAGTTGGTCGTCAAACAATCATGCACCTTGTAATTCAATGTTAAATACATCTATCCGTTTGTCGTTGATTGCACAAAAACCTTAGTTATATCATGATTTGTCATTTTTTTTCCGCGATTGTAGCGAGATCCTGTTATACATCAAATTATTTCATGTAATGTCATTATACCATCGTACATCGTAATATTATTGTTGACCTTTATGATTATTAGTGTTATAAGTAAGATAAGAACTTTGCATTCTGACGTGATTTAGAGATGAAAATCTTAATGCAACCATTAATATTACCTTAATAATACAATCAAATCAAAACTATCGCGGGGACTACAATAGTTTTTAAATAAAAAGTATTTAAAGTGTACTAATCAATACCTGATTACTTATCTGCACTCCACCAGCGCTCAGTGTTCTTCCTAGGCCTCTTTTTCCTCTGAACCTTTCTTGCAGTTCTTCAAGACACTTGAAATTTGCGATGCGAATATAAAAATCGAAAAAAAATGCAATATTTCAAACGGCACTATCGACGCCGATACTTTGTTATAGTGGAACAAAAGTAAAATTTGAATGTTATCGCACGGTTTAAGTACACGCGCCGTGATACAATCAGATCGTATGTCACCGTGCGAATGATAACAGGCAGTGGCGCACCCATGAGGGGGATTTTGGGGGTTAAAACCTCCTTTCCTCCCCGAAATTTATATATATATATATATATATATATATATATATATATATATATTAATATACCTTATTTTTTTTTAACTTAACAGCAAAAAGCAAAAAATCTGTAGTTAAATAAAATGCGTCCAAACATTTGTATTTTTTGTCTGTTATTAACTATAGTCACAATTTTAATAATTCAAAATTCACGCCAATATCCTTGCACACAAATAATTATGATAGATTCTCCAGCTTGTACTGCTGTTCGAACGTATATAATATCTACTTTAAGATATTCATATTGTGAAAAGATTTAAATGAGAAACATCTAGCAGCCATATATATATATAGACAAATTTTCTGATTATTTAAGCAATCCAGTTAATCTAATTATTTAAGAAAAAACCAAGAAAACTTGATATCAATTTATAATTATGCTACTATAAAAATAAATTGTATTTTTTATTAAACAATGTAACATTTTTATATTTTTTAGTGTGCAATATAAAATTATCCTGACTTTTGGTCATACTATTTCATTTTGCGTGTGTGAATTTTAACCTCCCCCCCCCGAAAAAAAATATCCTGAGTGCGCCACTGATAACAGGGCTATGATAACAGGACGACAAGGTATCGTTGGAATTTCACGATTGCAATTTGGAAGATGCAGAGCAAAAACAACAATGTACGTGTTAATACATAGCGCAAGAATGAGAGAGAGAGAGAAAAATATATAAAATATGCAGATAATAAGATAGAAACAATCTTACAAAACCCCGCGAGTCTCTCGGCCTCGAAACTATTGACAATAGTGTGTGAAGTATTTCACACATTACAAGATATTTCTTAACTTTGAAATTTTAATTTTGATAAATAGATTAATGTTCCGTTTTGTATCGTATAGTATTTTTAAAATCTTTACCTATAAATTCGTTAGCGTTGTCTAATTGTAAGATAACAATTTATTTTACTCAACTGGAATTCTTTTTAAAACTTTCAGGATGTTTTATCATTTCGTGTTATAAAATAAATAAATGTTAAGATCAAATATCGAGAGTTTCATAACAGAGGGACGTAGGAACTCTTAATATGAATATCCGAGGAATAAAATATTTAAAAGATACATCATTTTACATATATGTATCGACTGTCTACAATAAATCTTGATGGAATAAATTTCATAATTTATAATTTTGTATATGTATGTATATTTATGTGTGTGTATATATACAACATATATATTCGTTTGTCGAACGATTATTACATTACATGAAGCATGTATGCGGCATATTGTACGAGGGTAACGAGAGAAGACTACAGGGGAGACCACGAGATTGCGGAGGTGGAAAACCAGAAAAACCGGCCTTCTCTCTTTCTTTCTTTCTTATCTTTTTCTTTGTTCAATCCTTCTCTTCGTTCTCCCCGGCTGAGTGTGTGTGTGCGCGCGCGCGCGCGTAAGAGAGAAAGAGAGTGAGAAAGGGAGGGAGGGTTAGGAGGGAGAGAGAGAGGGAGAGGGAGAGGACGTGAAAGAGAAACAAAGAGAAACGGAGAGAAGTTACAGGTACCCGCACCAGCTGATGTATCGAGAATCGAGCCACGTCGACGCCTCCTCGCAGATCGCAGGTAAGAGAAACCCACCGCAGTCTAAAATTCTTAAGCTGATTTTAGAAATACTTTTCTCCTGCTACCGTCAGAACGATATGCATTGTCGAAATTCCACATCAAATTGAACGATCTGAAAGCCATCCATATACAATATATTCAGAAGTTTAAAAAGCTACTTGGATAAATATCGTATTGCTACAAAAAATATATTTTCAAATATATAAAGAATTGGGTGGACTTCCGAAAAGCTATCACCTCCGATTTGGCTGATATTCAGCCTAAATACTCATTTTATCTAGTAAATAATATTCCCAAATGGATTTTTGACGCAAATGCCCCCTCCGCCCGCCAGCCCCCCTCAAAGGTAAAACTGTTTTTGTTAATTATTTCAGAAAGTATTCATTGTACGGAAAAAGTTGTCAAACAAAAAATGAAGCTCATAAAAAGCTCTAAATCAGTCAAATCGGAGGTGATAGCTTTTCAG